CAACAACTAAAGACCAAAAAGGGTTCCAGAGAGGTGTTGTTCATATACCAGAGGGACTCTTCATCTGTAGGTGATCATCAGATTTGGTACCTTTGGTTCTTTATGACCTATCTCTGGTTTGTCTTCATAGGATCTCTATTCTTCAGTATTTAACCAGACTACAATACTTTTACAAATAGGAATTCCAAGGTCTTAACACTATGGCTTTACATACAACAAGATCTCCATCTACCATGACTCTAAGAGTGCCATTGCAATTTCATGCAATCCAGTTCAACACACTAAGATAAAAGACACTGACATTCTGTATCATTTCATTAAAGATCATGATGAAAGAGGTACAATAGAGTTATAGTTTGTTAATATAGAGTTTCAGTTAGCAGATTTGTTCATAAAGGCTTTAGATGAAAAACGTTTTAACTTTCTGATGGGCAAATTAGGCACACTTAATCCGAAATCTAAATTTTTATAGGTTATATGAATTTTTAATAAGGTTCATTCGATATACTGAACATTTTTCATTTTTCATTCAATGAATTTTTCTGTAATTGATAAATTTAAAATTTTCATATTATTTGATTTTTCTTTATTTCTAATTCAGATTTTCTTTAACATTTATGTATTTTCAAAGTATAATTCTCTGTATTTATTTTTTCAATTTTCTGGTATTTCTTTATCTGCCAAAAGTGGGTTAATATTTTCAGGGGGAGAAGATAGATAACAAGGGATAATTTTCTGAGGGAGAGTAGATAATTTTTTTTAAATCATCTCATCTTTTGAAGAATATTTTTAGATGCATCTTTTTAAGGGAGAGAAATCAGAGAAATATTAAAAAAAAATTAGATGCATCTTTTGAAGAATATTTTTAAATTGATCCAATGGGTGAAAAGCCTGATGATGTAGTAGTTAGATAAGTTGAGCTAAAACTGATGAATGAAATGTTCATCGATATCATTTATATGGATTCTTATTCAAAATGAGTTAGATGGTGACAAGACTGAAGTGGACTTTTATACATTTTTGCATGCATCACGGTCTCATTCTTTTCTCTCTTCTCCATCTATTCAATTTCTTACTCTCATCTCTCTAAGATTTTGGTTTAATCTTTGAAGTTTTTGAGAAACAGAACTGATAAATGATCCATTCGACGAGAGCTACAATTACCTCATTTGTTTTTAGTTTTCTTCCAATTTTATTTACGGGTTTTAAGATTTTGAAACCCTTTTGCGAGAATCTTGGTCTATTAGGTTGAACGAAGCTTGGGAGATGATTTCCTTGCAATTTTGAAGTTATAAGACTAAAATTGATTGTAAGATTGCAAAATCTTGATTTTAGTGTTTCTTAAGAATTTTCCAAGATTAAAGATTGATGAAATGGTGTTATTATGTTTAATATATGTTAGAAATATTGAATTTGAAGTTTGGTTAGTTTTTGGTATCATAAGTGGGGAAAGAAATGAAACCGTTAAAACGGTTTTGAGTTCCAAAGATTAACGCCCACAAAGTGTTTGATGAAATGCCCTTTCAACTTTCTTTCCTGTATTGGAAACACCGTATAAAATCGATCGTAAGTCGAAATAAGCTCCAATTTTGTAGTTAGAAAGTTCCTTGCGTCTATTACAACTTTGTAGTTGACACCGAGACCTTAATCTAAGTTGAAGTTGCTCGAAACATTGTTTTAGTTGTCGGTCTGCATGTACTCAAATTTTTTGCAACTATGCATGTTATTTATGTAACGAATACCGCAACTTCAATCAACATGAATGTAATTGCTATGGCATCCTAAGAGGTGTAGCTACAACATTGTTTAGAAAGGAATGACTAAATCAAATTCTAACTAGGTCTTAAAAATGTATTTGATGTGACTTAGGGTCACATATGATCAAGGGGATGAGCTAAGCCTTGGGGGAAACATTTTTAGCATTTTCTAGACAATAGGTACGAATTTCTTGTTTCATTCCATACGGGGTAATCCTTCGATAAGATTATCCATTACATTGAAATCTTAGCACTACAAAAGTAATGTATGTTAATATGAATCTAGAATTCCTTTATTATATTAAAATATAAAATTTCAGTTGAACTATGAGAATCTTGTGATTTTGTGTTTTGGTTTATAAAACTAATTCACGAAAAATGATACTTTAAAAGTATTCATATTCATTTAACTTTTATACGTGTGTGAGGTTTGAGAAGTCATTTTTAGACTTCATTTGAATTGTTTTGACGTTGGACATTGTTTTCACGACATTTTGAACCATAAAGGTCCTTTGATAGATTTCATGGTCGTTATTTTCAACTTTCATGATTCTCACTTGATTTTATAGTTTTGGGTGACATAATAGATCATTGTGATGCTCTATGGTGCTCGTAAACCACAACGTCCCCATACTGGTGCTCCATCGCATGAGCTTTACCTAGGTATGGGTGAGCCATATCAGTTGGTCCTAGGATATGCTTGTTATGATAGACATTAATTGCATACGAGATTGGATGTGCATGCCCGCACTACATCCCACAACCCATGCAGATTGATCCTCCCTTAAGCTTTATGACATACTGAGAATTTCATCCATTGATCCCTCTTTGTGATTATGAACTAGGAACTAGGTTTTCTACTTGATTTTATATGCAATCCTTTATGGCACTTCTGTTTAAAGTATTCTATGACTCTTTACACATTGATTTCTACTTTTACTTTTGCTATATCAAACTAATGTAATTATTTCCGCTACGTATTGATTTTATTTGTTATCATTTTTATTCTAATCCATTCACTGCGGAATTTGCACTCACCCGTCTTCTTTGTTTCTAGCACGAAAGGTTCGGTAGAAGAGACCGGGGAAAAACTGAGTGGACTTGAAGTTACAGTCGGTGGATCTTTTGATAGTTTAGTTGTTGTAACAATGTTATAAGCTTTATATTAGCCGATTGTGATTATGTTTTGAAATTTCGTTTATGTTATCTTTAAGTGCTTGATACGACCCTAATGCTTAATTCGGTTATAATTGGGTTGTAGGTCATATATACGTCATGCACCATGTCCTCAGCCATTCCAGACAAGGGGTGTTACAGTGTCGTTAAAATAAATTGTTACAACGAAACTGGTTTCTTCCTAAGAAACCCAAATGACTCAAAACCTAAATCGTCCTATAATAGTCTTTATTAAACAATTTTAAAAAATGTACTATAAAACATCATAAAAACAAGTTCTATTGTTGTGACTATTAGAACTCTATAAAAAACAAGTTCTGTTGTTCATCCAAACCGCACAAACCGTCCACACCGCATCGGAAAGCGTGATTCAGAACTTCTACTACGCAACGATTTATGGTTTTAAATTATCAAAATCGTGGTTCAAACTGCATCGTATATTTATATATTTTTTTTTGTTTATTTATATATGTAATAATTAGGCTAATTCACGTAATACTTTTAGTTTTCTTAGTTTATTTTTAATTATGTAATATTTTTAGTTTTCTTAGACTCTTTTTTATTATGTAATATTTTTAGTTTCCTTAGATATTTTGAATTATGTAATATGTATTTGGTAATTGGATGTATTTAAACTTTTTATTTGTTTGAACTACAATAAGATTATCGTTGATTTTATAAAACAAAATTAATCTTATTATTATTGGATTGTAGGTGTAAAGTGTGATAGGTACAAACCGCATTAGCCACACTGCACCGTATTTAGCGATATGGTTTTTTGCAGTTTGAAATATCTGCGGCACGGTTGGTAATTTAGAAAAATGCTCAAACCGTATATGTGGTGCGGTTTGCGGTTTGACCTCAAACCACACCACAGAAACCCCTAATTAGAACCAAGGGTTACCAAACTAGATATATTAGAATAAAGTGTGTATATGTATATGTGCAAATCGTGTAATCAAGGTGTAATAAAACAGAAAAAATCATGTCTATATATATATATATATATATATATATACATCCAATATACCAAAATTCTTATCAAACCGGAGAAATACTAACTTGAAATTGACGATTGCTTGAAGATTAGATAGGGCTTGCTTTGTAGTGTCTTGAACAGAATTTTGCCTCAGGTGTAAAGTAGTTTCGAGCATCCGTTTAGAGAATACAACTATCAATTCAAGTTCTTGCACGAGAACTCGAATCTGTCGAGTTTCCTATGTGTTCACGGATGAATCGTGGGAGAGGAACCATATAAAATTTAAGGGGAAAAATGAATGTCATGAAATTCTGGGGGAAAAGATGAGTTTATGTAGCATTGGCGGTGGTTAATCGGCGGTTAAACCGGTTTTTAATCTTAGCAGGTTTGCCCGCAACTTTGGTTGCCGCTCTAGTCGTGCAAATCACTATTTCCGCCCGCATGGGAAGGCGGTTGTTTTGAGGTCAAGGCCCAAGACCCATTCTTTTGACATGTAAATATATGCCAAGCTTTCCTATACAGCCCAATTCAAGTCCCTTAGATGGGCTTCTGTCCAATTTGTTAATCCTTATGGACAGCTTAGACATATTTCCCTCTCCATATCGCTAATATCCATGCCCGGAAGTTAAAAACATAAATCCAGTGGCCCAAACAAGTCGCCACTCGTGGACAAACGAGAGCCCGGAGGGAACTTTCCACGTACAGTTCCCTGAGAAGGGAGTGGCTACCTACTTGAGCTCCCCTCCCCGTCCCTTACTCGTCTTTTGCATCATTTCACAGCCTGATTAATGCACTTTAAAAGCACACTTCTATAAACAACTTCCTATGGGGGATCATATTTCTTGTAAAAATCCCAACAGTGATTGCAATAAATACAGAATTGTTCACAGCAAATTCAATAAGGAGCTATGTAATCAAGTTTTTTTTATCATTTTTTGAACAGATTTAAGTTGACCTAAAGGAGGTTTGTTTAGCAACACCATCCAATAACAGAGATGAAGCAAACAGTCCTTCATTTGGTCTGATTCAATTTTGAATAAAACCACACAAAATCATGATTTTAAACTAAAAATGGGAGTAACTAGTCATGTCTAATTTGAACAGAACAAGTAACTAAGAGGCTCTCAATTTGATTAAATTAAAAGTTTTGATTATTTGATTTCTCCTTGCAAACAAATCAAATTAATAATCATCAAAAAGGGTCTAAGCATTTGCATAATAGACTTCTTCATGCACATGATGATGACATGTATAAAAAATGCTTACTTATGATGCAGTTGAAGATGGTGGCTGTCTAATACTTGCCAGTTGATTGATCCACCTATCCTCAGGAACCTGACCCGCCCAATCTGGAGCCAATCCTCGAAATGATATCCCACGCATCGCCTCCATCACTCTCGTCGTATTCTCCGGCGTCAATGGAGCCCTTCGACGGCTCTCATCCTCTCTAAATGCTCTCTGCATCGCCTGTCTCATCCTGTCGTCTTCTTCTTCTTCCTCATCGTCTTCGTCGCTCAGATCTAGAGAGTCCATTCCGTTCTGTACACAACGAGCGTCACCGTTCTGTAGACAGTGGAAGTTCGGTTCGAGATCGTTATCGGAGTTCTGATCGGAAGAATCCTCGTCGTCGATGGCACCAGAAGATATCGGCTCGTAGTATTCCGGTGAATCGTCGGAAATCGTGTCCGTGTCGCTCCCACCGGCGGTCTCTGCAATACATCAAATTACCACATACTAATACGATTATTGATACATATACATAGATCCGATTGTAAAACACTAATTTTCCAATTACCTTCCGTGAAGTTGATTTGAGAATTGGACACTGCGTTCATCTTCGTGAATTAAGGGTTTGTGGAGGATTAGCGATGAAGAGCGAACGGAGAAAATGAAAAAGCAAATGAGGGAGTGCTCCTCTTGTAATTATAAAAGTCTACTAAAATAGGACCTTCAACTTCGAGTATTAGAATAACACATCCACACCCCTCCTAGGTCCTGAACCCGCGTTTTCTAATTGCAAATAATTACCGTTTACCAAACATTTATCCGATAAACGTTTATTGGTAAATTTAACACTATCATTTATTTACTGGGTAAGATTTTAGTCCACCAAAACGGTATTGTGCGCAACAATTTACCTAGTAAGCGCTACCATTGTAAGAGTCATCATCATCACTTACCGGGTAAGACTTTTGGTTTTCATCTCGCTCTTACCGGGAAAGATTTTGATCTTTACCATATTCATCTGGTAGGGTAATGTAACTTGATGTTCACTTACCCAAGTAAGCGTTTGGTAAACCGCCCCTTAATTGATTTTTTTTTAAGTTTCTCCCTCTCTCTACTTTCTCTCTCTAGCTTTTGGAGGTTTTTTTGAGTTTTCTTGCTATTTCTCTTCCATGGCAGATTTGATACCTGTTATGGAAGAATCTATGCATGGTAAAACAAGAAAATCTCATAAACCTAATCATGGTTTGAAGATCTCCATCCCTCTTCCTAGTTTTCAAAACAAAAATTTGGAAAAGTTTGAAGAATGTTGCAAAAATAGAAGATTTGAGAAGGTAGGTAAGCTTCGTCCCTCATCTAGTTCCATTTCATGTGTTTTATATGATGAAGAGCTTGCTAAGATTAGTAATTTATCAACTCCCACGAGTTCGGATTATGTTGTTTTCAACGTGGGTTGGTGGAATGGAGCTAAAAGTGAAAAGGATGAAGATGAAAATAATGGAATGATAGCTCGTCCTTTTGTTATATCTAATCCTAACCGTCTGAGTTATGATCAAAAAAAGATGTTAGTGGTCAGTGTTTGAATGTTGCTCCCTCCTTTGTTTATGGCAAAGTGAATGAATTTGTTGAAAACCATTCTTCTTTAAACAAGTTCGTTCCTGTCAAAGTTGTCTGCTATAATCCTACTATTCCTACTCTCCATGAAAAAAAAATTGGGTTGCATAAGGAACTGTCTTGGGCTGTTGTTGCTTCGTCTACGGTTCACATATCTGCTTACTTAGAGTAGATATGATTGAACTATGATACTTGATGATTCTTTAGTTGTTGTAAACCAGAGGGGTTATGGAAATGCTTGTTCATCGACCTGATGAACTTCTTCATAAGTAGATGATTATCAGGTTAAGTGCTTCAGGTCTTCATAGCACCTCTGGACCTTTCATTGCATCTCTGGTTTGTCTTCAGTACTTAGAATCTTTTCAGCTACGTCTTCCATCAGGTCTCCAAACTTTCATACTTGTATATTTTTCATTACTTCTACAAATAGGAATTATGGGGTCTAACAATCTCCCCATAAGTAATGAAAAATAAAAAAATAGCTATCTATAAACGATAAACAAATAGCTATATATGTACAATAGGCTAAGCTAAGTGAAACATCCTTTTTGTCAAAAGTTTTCATTTTCGATGAAATGGATTGTTTCATACAATACGGAAGTAAGTAGAAAGAGATAGAAAAATTACATCTCATTCAAGGTCTCCATTGATGATTCTCCAAAAACGCATCATCAGTCTTCTGTATCTTATGACTGTGGAGATCCCATGAATTACCTCTTGTCCCTCTCTTCTTGGCACATAGTCTCTGCCCAGTCTCTCTGGGATGACTTTCTGAAACCATTCAAGTGTATCGGTTGAATACTTGAAGGCCTCAGTTAATCGGAAGAATTTTTTGGTAACGAACGCATTCTTGAAGACTAAGCCCACTTCCGGTTGAGTCAAAACAGAGGCAGAGCACTTCTCTTGCAGTCCAGGAAAGTCTTCTTTTAGAGCCGTGCAAGAAAGTCTTTCAATGCCAAGTTCCAGCGCGATCTAAAAATCATTATTCGCTCTATACTTCACCAAAGTTCCCACGTCTCTACGATTGCTCTATGTGTCATCCCGTACCTTATCCCATGGTCCTGATGTTGAGTCGTAAGACCATAAAAGTCGATCAAGTCCCATGGATTAAGATTGATTAGATCATTGTCATTAAAGACACAGAGCATTCCATGAGCACGCTCCATGGTATACTCGATGTATTTGATGGCTTTGTTGGCAATGGTCCAAAGCTTGATATCATGAACCGTCTTTATCCCTTCATTCGAGAAGACGACATATGGTGGTTGGGTGAGTTGCCTTACGAACCTGTGTCTGATTAAGTCCAAGGACTCCGAGGATAGGGGGATTTAAGACAATGTGCTCATCGTGATCATGGTAGAGGTATTGATGGATGTTCTTTATCATGATGGGCTCCTTGGTGGCATCTCCAGACGTCTCCTTAATGTTTCCATATGAGCGATGACTTCATGTACTCTATCGATGGATGGAGGTTGCCTTGAGGAGGAGGGAACATCTGCAGGCATTGTTGGATTTATAGGTTGGATAAGTGTTGGTTCTGGTTGGGTAAGAGGTGGTTTTGGTTGGGTAAGAGATGGTTCTGGTTGGGTAGGTTTTGTATGAGTGGTTTTTGGTTGAGTGATGACAGGTCCTGGTTGGGTGGTTTCTGGTAGTATTGGTGATGGAGGTGGTAAAGGTGATGGGTGAATGGAATTTGAGAGGCTGGTTGTGTGGGTGTTTGTCTGGTTGAGGGTTGTGTTTTGGGAGGTGATGAAGAGCTCACTAATATTGGTGATGATTCATCGGTTGATGGTGATGGGTTGGTTGATGAAAGATCGGATGAGGGAAGTGGTACTTCGGCTAAGGGTACAACCTTTGTTATTGGGGTTATAGTGCCTGCAGCTGGATGAGGTAGATGCTGCAAAAATAATAGTTGGAAAATTAAGTATATTTACATTATCTACATCATCAGAGGGCTGAGCTTCTGGTTCCCTTGCTTCTGGTCCAGTTGTTGGTTGAGGAGATGGAGCTTGTGTTGGTGGAGGTGGAGCTGATGCAGTGTCCATAGATTAAAATTCACAAACATTCTCTTCAAATTTAATATTCTTCACAATGAAAAATCTCTATCAGTAAACTCTTGTAAGATAATCTTCACATTCAACATCTCTCAAACACTGTAGCACAGGAATAATCTTCAGTCACACTTCTTTGAGTCTTTTGCCGGTTCCCAATCTTTATATCATACTCCCCTTTGATGTTTATATCAAACTTCCCTTATATCATTCAAAATCGATCATTTCATTCATTATTTCACACTCTCCCTTATGATGAATTGAGAATCATTAGCATCATACATTAGAATGAACGAAATTTTCAGCGAATGCCGTCAATTCATAAAATTGTAAGCAGATCTTTTCAAATCCACTTGTATAATCTTTTCAGATTAAGAGGATGGAAAAGTAGCAACCAATTTCAACTTATGAAATTGTTTTCAATCTTATAAAAGATTGGCTTGTGACTATAACAAATATACTCAATACATCAAATGTACTTCATATATGAGACTTTTTGAGGTTCATCTCACCAGGACTTCCATTCAATCATCAATAGTTTAATAATAGCATATCTATGAATGTTATGGCAAAATAACATATAAATTGCAAAATCTGTGTAGTGTAGAAAGATATAGCAACATATGCTTCTGTTTAGGCTCAAAAAGATAAATCGTGTGGACTACACAAATTTATCAGACTTAATTATTGATCAAAAAGACTTGAAGGGGGGATATATATCCTTTTGTTTCAATATCAACTTTCTCCAAATGAGAAATTGATAGATTGTGAGCTGCGTTCCCTAAGTGTTATTGAAACACTTATCTGTTAAGAGATAAATCAGTAGCTGGTGGGGTTGTGACAAGAATTGGCTTGAGCTTTGTCTTTTTCAATATTAGTCTCGGAAGAATTGAGAACTAATAGATTTCTTGGTATCCCCGGAATTTAGAGGTTTAGAACAGGATTCTTGTAATCGTTTAATCCTGACACAACTCTCATCAATTCTTTTGGCTCACAACAACTACCCCTATCTTTTTCATTTTAAGCTCTGCACACAAACCCTTTTTGAGTTTAAGCTCACTCAGATATGGTTGTCCTTATAGGTAGGTCTGTCGGTTCTGACATTCCATTGAGGTATTTGTGTAAAGCACTCAGCCCCTCCTAAAATAACAGTATGCTCAAATTGATCACAAATAATTGATCAAAAATATTATTGCTATAAAGCACAATAATCAGATAAAATTGATCAAGATATGTAGCTTTGAAGCACAATCAATCAAGGAGTGATATGCAAAATCAGATTATTCAGAATATGAGAGAAACGAATGAAGATCTGTATGTACAAGTTTACAAATTTTGATATTAAAAGAATAACATATGTGTATCAATCAAAGTAAAAAAAAAAATCAGAAAAACAACTTTGATTACAAACGAGTGTATTATCACCGAAAATGATTATTATTTAAGAGACGTGATAATAACGGTTTGAAGAATAGCTGAAACAGGTATTGGAATTATGATCGATGAGAAATTACGCAAGTAAAATCTTAGGAAATACCTGCTAAGAAAATATACTCGTTTTCAAAAATCAACTCAATTTCCGAAAACATTTATTAGAAAATTTCTAGAGACTCCCCCTAGAAAATTGATTTAAGCAATGTATCGTTTCAGTTCAAAATAAAAAAAAAATCAAAACATTTTGGCACGGATCCTAAACTGATGTATTTAGAAACCATAATCGTTTAAGCACGGGTCCTGAAGTTATATATTCAGAAGCCTCATTTGGACAGACTACAAACTCCCAACTCCCCCTGAATTTGTGCATCATAGGCATGATTTTCTGATCAGCGCAATAACGACACACCTGCAAAATCAGATCAAACGGATTTTGGTACCCAGACGAACTTGGGTCCTTCTTTGTTAGTATCAGGTTGTGGGATATTGTAACTGCCAAACCATCTATTCTTATTAGATGTTTTCTTTTTAGCACTTTTAACAGGTTGATCATATAGACAGTAAGATCCATACAAGTTATTATCATATATGTTATGATTGTTC